AGGCATACTTCGGTGGCTACAGGGTGTCCGGTATACTGCTCTGAATGCGGGCCAGCACCACTCTCTCAAAACGCTGCATAATGATTGGGGTGAGTGCCACTGGCCTGTAGTCGTTCAGGCAGGTGACCGGGCTCTTCTTGGGAAGGGGAACGATGGTTGTGGTCTTAAAGCAGGTGGGAACAATGCTCTGGCTGAAGGAGAGATTGAAGATGCTGCTGAGAACATCAGCCAGCTCACTGGCACATGCCCTGAGAGCCCTCCCAGGGATGTTGTCCAGTCCTGCTGCTTTGCGGAGTTGATCTTCCTTAGGACTGTGTGTACCTGGCCTGGTGAGACAGTTAGTGGAGGGGAGGTGGGGGGGTTGGGTGGTCCAGGTGTGTGTGCCTCCTCTCTGTGCTGTGGCTGGAGGTCTCAAAGCGGGTGTAGAAGGTGTTGAGGTCTGTCTGTGGAACTGATGATGCTGGTGGTGGTCCTGTAGTCTGTGATGTGCTGCAGGCCTAGTCACATCCGTCCAGAGTCAGCAGTAGAATAGAAGCCATTCAGCTTCTCTTTGTACTGCCTCTTGGTGATGGCTTTCCTCAGTCTGTACTTCGCAGCTTTGTACTCCGTCTCATTGCTTGATCTGAATGAATGAGAGCGAGCATGCAGCACCTGACTGTTTATCCAGGGCTTCTAGTTGGGAAACCTCCTGACTTGTATGGTGGGCACAGTGCTGTCAATACAGGTGCTAATGTACCCGGTCACATACTCAGCATAATCCTGTACGCTGACAGAAAAGTCCTCCGAGGTGGCTGCAGCTTTAAAGGACTGATTAATATGAAGAGTAACTGTCAATTAATATGTCCAATGCATTTTGTTGAAACCTATATGGAGTTTAATGTCTGTACTGGTGAAGGTATGAGCATTCATGCTGTTGACACTGTGTCTGAACCAGCTGGGTAAGACCATATTACTTATTTATATACAGTCAGTGGTTCAGACACAGAGTCAACAAGGCCAATGAACCATAACGTAAAAGAAACATGAACATCATGACTATAGGTACTAAGTGCATCACTTCTGTATAATACATGAATGCAAAGATTGTCTTATGAACTTTGGCGGTTCAGAAGGGCTTTTGAATTTTAAGCTCTCTAAACTGAAACTAGCATTTTATTAACACTTCTCACCTAAAGTAAAAGTAAGGATCTTGATAGTTTTTCCCCTTAAGCAAGATCTGACAAAATGAAAATGTTAGAAAGAAAAGGATTATTGAAGATTCTTTGTTGCATAATATAAAAAGGAATGGCACAAAATTAAGGACACAACGTGGAAAAAAACTTTGTCTAAAAAGAGGCTGTCTAAAAACACATACATTTCATAAATGAGTCCATTGAGAGTTTAATGATCCACAAATTTTAATATCCATTTGGGCTATGATGAAAGTCTCCATTTATTTTCAGCTACCAACTGAATGAACTGGAAAAATAGGTGTCACTCTTGAGGTAAACATCTAAATGGACCGTAACCTACAATTTCAGTAATGGGCTACTGTATTTGATTTCATGGTGCTGCATCCTGAAGACAGAGTAACTGGCCAGTTTTTGGTTTGTGTGTGAGCAATGAGAAAGAAAAGAGAGTAACACAGTGATACAGAGGGCTTTGCAGAAACATCATTCCTTACTCTGAAAGCTCAGAAACATAGGGTACTTGGCACTGTTTTTTCTCCTTTATATTTTTTGACTAATATGGACTTATGCAAAAGGCCTACATCTGATATACATTAATATATTATATTTTAATATGAAGAACAATGTACTGTGTATTTTTTGAGAATGACATTTGATACTCAAAAGGATATTTCTTCATGCACACCACATATATTTATTGTAACAAAACAAAATATTTCCTTATTTGGTGGAATGTTGCACCAAATAATATAATTGATAATACAGAAGAGAATAATACAGCCAGCTTTGCTTTACCATTCAAACAAACACTTAAGTGCAACGTGCCCTTCGATGTAACATTTATGTTTATTGTCACATACAGTATTTGGCTAAAGTGGCCACTTTAATGGACAGTCACATAATAAAGTTAGGTAACCACGGGGACCCTCAGGGGAGCTTTGACTTCCTGCTCCTGGCGCTTACACCTACTGTCTGCGATTGGTAGTTTTGGACCAATGAATGCAAAAATCTCTGATGACGTTTGAGGTCTGTAGGTTTTTGCGCGAAGGTGCAGATGTTGGCGGTCGGAAGAGACAGGAGAGGAAGAAATAGGCTGCAGAGGTCTTTGTTCAAATCCAGGCACTTAACGGTGAGAACAGTGCGTTTATGTAAATGTTTAACCAGGCTTTCAGACCATTAATAGTGCTGATAGAGTTAAAGGTCACTTTGGACAGTTTTTGCAGCATTATGAATTCTGTTCAGCATCACTGAATCAATTGTAGGGTTTTGTAATGACCGTTGTTTAGTAAACGTAGTTTGTAATAGTGTTACGTAGAAAAAAAATATATATATATATGCTATCACAGGCAAGATTTATTCTAAAATCCAGCCATATACAGTTATTAGCCAAAGAGTTCACTAACGCTTTAGTGTCCATAATGTCTAATAATGTCCGTGTAACTCCACCAGCCACTTAACGTTCAGCTAGCTAAATTTATTAGTATCTTATTCTGGTGCTTTATCTTTCCTGCCCATATTTAGTAATCTGATCGCTTTGCCTCTCGTTTTTATCTTCAAACTTGCGTCTTTTTGACTCAACTCTGTATGTTTATTGAGTTATTTTCTATTCCCCCCCGCCATTTGCTAAAAGAACATATTTTGCAGAAATGTGTGTGTGTGCACTCCCCCAGCTCCAGAATGACCAGCTTTTAGGCTAGAGGTGATAAAGTGGCATCATGGTCTAACCCTGCTAAAACCAGTGTATTTATAGCAGTCAGGGGCATTAGTGGGGTGGAGAACTTGTTTTGCCTGACATGTCATGACTGGTAACTGAAAATATTATATAACATTATAATATAATTTGCAGCTGGCTTCTATGTAATGAGAAAATGAACTACTGCGTTCCTATATGTGACCATTCATCAGATTAAACAACATAAAACGTGCCTTTGTGTGCCCAACAGAGTTTGGTTTGATTGTACAGGCCACCAAGGAGGGAAAATAGGAAACCTGTTTTTTAAATGCATGGTTGATCAATGACCTGTCAAAACATGAGCTGTTACTGCTGGCTCCGTTGCTGCACTCCTGCTCCTAGTGAAATGACATGAACAAAGTACTGCGTCCTTGCATTTGAACAATATAAAATGCATGCTTTTCCAGCGTGTGCAGTTACAGATGCATTGCTTGATGTTAATGTCCTTTTTTCATCTTTTCCTGCAGCAGTATATAAGGTGATATTTCTGCTGATATGGCAAACACTGGAGGTAGGTGTAAACTCTGCAAATAGTCACTGTACTTGGATAGCTAGTCTTTTTGGGATGGAACAACACCTTATAAAACCTTTAAAGACCTTATTAATACCTTTCATGGCAGCATAATCATACTCAGTAAAAACTAGGCAAAAATAAACAAAGGCCCTGACTGTCAGAAAGGCAGGTTGCTATGCCTTTAAGACCTGAAACCATATGACTCAAACACATTATTTAATGATATACTAGTGACTGGAGTGCTTTGATGTGGTTTGTGTAGCAGGTTGCAAAAGCAATCTGTAAAGCTGCACTCCTACAGTACTTAAAAACTGTGTTTTCTTTGTCACGTATTGTTTTCATTTCATCTTCACTGGTAAAATTCTGCCACACAGCAGGGATTATTGTTCTCTTTTGACCACTTTGACAAAGCAGTGATCCCTAAAATGTAGCACGAGGACAGCACCACCTCAGTCAGACAACGAATCTCAGTCAAAGAGAAGTGAAGTGCTGATATGGTTGCTCAACTAACTGGTCCATGCACAGCATCTTGACCATCACTAGTAGTAGTAAGTATGGAAATGTTCTGTTTTTCAGACATCCATGTGAAGGAGCTGAACAAGCGTTCTTCAGGTCAAGCATTCGAGATCATCCTGACACCCTCAACACCAGATGCCAAGGGGGCATTTCCACTGTCCCCAACTAAAAAAAAGGAAACTTCACTGGATGAGATTAAGAAGAAATTAGAAGCAGCAGACGAGAGACGCAGGGTATCTTCAAAAATAACAAACTGATAACAGATATGACCAATAAAACCTCGGTGAACACCACAAACTGAGCTGTAAAGCCTAGCAGGTGGGTTAGGATTCCAGTTATGTGTACTTACTATGGGAGTTCTCTTTTATCATTTTGTCAGAGTCATGAGGCTGAAGTGCTGAAACACCTGGCTGAAAAAAGAGAGCATGACAAGGAAGTCATCCAGAAGGCCATAGAGGAAAAATGCAACTTTAGCAAGAAGGTGCAAGAGAAGATGAATCAGAAGATGGAGGCAAACAAGGAGAACCGCACTGCACGGATGGAAGCTCTCAGTGAGAAGTTCAAAGAGAAGGTAAGCTCCCAGTGGCTTTCAGCCTAGCTTCATCTTCACTGTTGGAAAAAAATAAAAATAAAAACCACAATGGTGCAATTCTTGTGCCTTTCAAACAAACAGGACAAGAAGCTTGAAGAAGCTAGGAAGAACAAGGAGGCGATGAAAGAAGGGGAACATTAATTTGTGTGTGATCTGGAAAACAATCTTTACATCTCCAAAGATAAGCTGTATGTTTTACTGACTCTTACACTGTTTTCTTTGTTGCATTAGTTCTGATAATGCTGTTGAATCAGTGCTGGATAGAGTGGTTACATTGGGTATGGAAATCATCTGATGTTTCTTCACTTGTAAATTTCCTTTTGGCAGCTGATTATGTTTTGTAGTACTTTTTAAACTTCATTCTATTGTGACAAACTGGTCTGTCATACTGTTAAAACTGATCCTATAACACTGTTCTGAACTGCTGACAATGTTTGATCATACTGTTTGATGCCAAGATTCTGCCATTAAAGTGTGTATCCACCGTTTATTCTGTTTCTGTCCTGGAGTGTTGAATGTGTTTTCCGTCATGCAATTTCAAGTGTTATTTTTCTAGTATTTGATACAGATTGAAGATGTAACAAGTACACATGTGGCATACTCTGTAGTACATTAGTATAATTTTGACACAACTGACATCTAGTGGCACTTATTCATCTTAGTGATTTTTAAAAAATTGTTAAAAACTTTATGTCATGAACCTCACACATATGTTTACACTGATTCTCAAGTTTTATACTGATTTAACACTTTGTGCTCACAGTAAAATTGTGTTTGGAGAAGTATATGCGGTAGAACACTGTTTGATTCTACATTGCTATGCACACACGCAGTGCTATACAGTCCCTTTGTCAAGTGTTTACTGCTGGACTCAGCCCAGAAAAATGTGTCTCATAGTCCAGTACTCAGTCGTATGATAGTGCAGGGAACAAAGGCTGGCTTGGCTCTGAGACCGTCTTCAACCTCTTACTATATTTTTTCTCATGATCATGACTTCTCAGTTTTACTAAGGTCCATGTATCTGCTCTATTCCAAAATAAGAATAATGTTCTCAGCTTCTGTTGTCACTTTTTACAGAAAGATGGCCTTTTTCAGATTAAGACCGATCATCCTACAGTAGACACACCCCCTGTCAATTGAGTTGTAAATAAACACCGAGTTGGATCATTTGTATTAGGAAACTGTGCAGATTTTTCATACACAATGAGTGTAATGGTGGATATTTAGTTACTGAATGCTAAACAAGGGAAAGGCAGGGGCCATAAACACACTAGTCAAGCAGGGAAATTACTTGTTTTGACAACCAAATGAGGTCCAGTAGGATTACCAATGCAATTTGGGTTAGAATTCTGAATGAGTACTGTATTCAAACAACTTTTGGTGACTCATCATTAAAAATACAGTGGTATATTTTATGTGGGGTCATCATAATAGTTATTTTATTTATTTTAGGTCAACTATTAGACAGCAGGTTGGTACCCACAGGCCTTATCTAATAGAAATGCCTCACGGGAGTGCCATGAATTCACTTACCACTGGAAGAATTTCTGTTCAGAACAGGTGGGCTGATAGGCCTATCGGCATCCGTGATTGGTCGACAGAATGTGTGCGAGCGCACAACGTAGCAGCCTGCTTCCTGATTGGTCAGAAGAGCTGCGTGTCAAACGTCTGTATCCTCCAAGCAGCTGTGCTGTGGCCGCTAGGCGCTGCTCCCGTCACAGACATCCTTTCTCTGTTCACGGTTTTAAACAATGCTATTTATATTCTGCACGGTTCTAAATCATTTATCGACTGCTAAACCAAGGATTCTAAATTGATTCTATCATCTACAGGTATGTTGATTTTATTTTTGTTATTCGGTATATCATAAAAATGTGGATGCGCCTCGAACACAAAACCCTGCTATGATCATGAACGTGGAGCGGTATTTTATAAATTTAAACACGGTGCAGCAGAGGTTTGTGATGCACATGGAGAACTGAAGCAAGCCTTGGGGCTCGGAGGAACGGTGAATGTAAATTAATTTCGGACAGATTCTAAAATTTAAACAGACATGTCGATCATATGCAGATTTTCTTGGGGGAATTTATTAGGCTACAACAGGCCCTCATAGGCCAGAGTTTAATTAAGACCCACACTTTAAAACGCCCTTCCCTGTAATAGTGGAGCGCGTTCCTTTATCCATTATTTTGCAAGGATTGCAACCGAGGTTGAAAATCCAGGGTGTGGGCGTCAGATGAGGCTATGTTACGTAATGTTTCCCCATTCATCACTTCACGCCTTTCCTCCTGATCCAGGACCTGTCTGTGTAGATGCCACACAGGCCGATCCCTCTGCTATCTGCCTTCACCACGTCTCTGGGGAGCCCACAAAGATCTGGAGAGACAGCATCAGTGAAACGTTTCACTGATTTTAATCCAGGTCTCCCTATATGTAGGGTAGATGGCGCTCTTATTAGCTATAGTCCAAAAACAAAATCCGAACAGTTCGCACGCATAGTTAGGCTTACTAAATGTTATTTTCAAGTCCAATTGTTCGAATATTGCAACATCAAAAACACAACTGCATTTGCTGAATTTACGTACTCTTGCATAATATTCGGTGAGTCACGTGACCTTACGTAAAGTTCATAAAGCTGTTTAACCACAGGTTTGAAAAATAGGCACTTTATGCATATTATCATCCTGGCCTGGTAAACTGGTAGGGTTCCTGTCACAGTGATGAATTATTTTGGAGAGCAGATTAAAAGCTTGGGAACACATTGATCCAATAATTTGACAGGAATCCATTAAGTATTAATTGATAAAACATCTGGGTCATTATTTTTGCAAATGAAAACACTAAGGTGCACTAATTAGTATAATTATTATCAACAAAGGATGAAGTGGCCTGTGTGATGTGAATGGAGTTGCTCTCAGTGTCAAACACACATGTATTAAAATGTGATACAGTATATAATAAACTTGCCTTGCCTTTTAGTCTGTTATAGTCTATGGATTATTATTTTGCTTATCCGGTCCCAGGCCTCAAGTCTCATTAACCTTAATTCGAGCTGCAGCAGGAAGGTGTTTTCAGCCAAAACATTATAATAAAGAAATATCTTTCTTAGAGGTCTGTGGAAAACAAATAACAGGGTTTAAAAATGAATATATTTAGATTTGTCAGGTCATCAAAAACACAGCCTTGATTGTTAATATTTCTCTGTGTCTGCTGAATATGTTGAGTGTTTGGTAACATGTCTGAGCTAACTAATAAGTCAGTGTTGTGTTTTTCGGCCAGTTATGCTGCCCTCAAGCCAGCTGCAGCTTTAAGAAAAAATATTAATGATAAAATCACTGATTAAGCATCTCATCTAATATTTATTTGTTATTCAGCCTATTTCCATGTTGAATCTAACAATGCTTTTTGTTCATTTTATCTGGATTCATCTTTTGGTCTAGGAAATGTAATAAACTATGCTATACAGTCTCACAGGGCCCCAGGCATCCTGCTTGTTTTGTTTGACCAAGTGTAGATAACTGATAATGGATATGCAATACACTGACTAAAATAGAAACCAACCAAGTGTGTCCAGAGAATATTTGATATTTTTGCTTTATAATGACTTAAACGATTTACTGATTTTCAATGCAAGGTGCACACAAACAGATCTGAAGACAACAGTATCTAAAGGCCAGAGACATTGACATTCTTTCTGCCCTCCTCTCTTGCCTCCAGTTTGCCATGGCGACGGTGGTGATGGAGCAGATTGGTCGCCTGTTTATCAATGCGCAGCAGCTGCGCCAGATCCCTCAGCTGCTGGAGTCAGCCTTCCCCACACTGCCTTGCACTGTGAAGTTGTCCGATGTTCCCTGGGTTTTCCGTGAGCGTAACATCCTCACTGGCTACAGACAGACCGACCATAGCTGGCGCTACTACTTCCTCACCCTTTTCCAAAGGCACAATGAGACCCTCAATGTGTGGACCCATCTGCTGGCTGCCCTCATCATCTTGGTGAAGTGGCAGGAGATCTCAGAGACAGTGGATTTTTTGCGAGACCCTCATGCTCAGCCTCTCTTCATTGTCCTCCTGGCAGCCTTCACCTACCTCTCCTTTAGCGCCCTCGCTCATCTCCTGTCTGCCAAGTCAGAGCTTTCCTACTACACCTTCTATTTTCTCGACTACGTGGGAGTTGCTGTCTACCAATATGGCAGTGCCCTGGCACACTACTATTACGCCATAGAGAAGGAGTGGCACACTAGGGTGCAAGGCCTCTATTTGCCCTCCGCAGCATTCATGGCCTGGCTCACTTGCTTTGGCTGCTGCTATAGCAAATATGCTAATCATGAGCTACCCAAGTTAGTCCTCAAGTCCTTCCAAGTGGTGCCGTCAGCCTTGGCTTACTGTTTAGACATAAGCCCTGTGGTTCACCGTATCTACAGCTGCTACCAGGAGGGCTGCTCTGACCCTATTGTGGTGTACCATTTCTACCATGTGCTCTTTTTCATAATCAGCGCCTATTTCTTCTGCTGCCCCCACCCAGAGAGTTGGTTCCCTGGGAGGTGTGACTTCATCGGGCAGGGCCACCAGATCTTTCACATGCTGGTGGTGGTGAGCACCCTGATGCAGATCGAAGCACTGCGAACAGACTTCACAGAGCGCCGCCCGTTGTACGAGCATCTTCACGGCGATCTTGCGCACGATGCTGTCGCTCTCTTCATCTTCACTGCCTGCTGCAGCGCTCTTACTGCTTTTTATGTGCGTAAATGCGTACGTGCCTCTCTCCACGAGAAGGACAAGTAAGAACTGGAGTAAAACTTGAGTCAAAAGTCAAATTTATTTTACTTTTGAGTGACCGTTTATTTAAAATAATTCTAATGTTTTTGTCAATGAAAGTTATTAGTTTGTGACAGTGACATAAATATTTCTTCTGTGATCTGCCAAACTACAGTGAGCTAAAAAAAAAGTGACAAATGTCGTGTTTTTGTGACTTTCGCTGAGGATAAGGGACTCTTGTAATTTGTCTGTAGCAATACAGGTAGTACTCAAACACTGTAATCAGTCCTCGCATTGTTACACTGCTCTTTTTTTAGTCTGCAAGATTTTTTTTGTAGTGAAACTGTTAAAGAATGTTTAATTTTACCATACAAAATTCTTCACTTTCTGTCAAGGTAAGCAGAAAAACTGTTGCGTAAAGACTGTTCCTTAAGGTGATTTTTTTTACCCAGTGATATTTAGAACAATCTGACTATCTTGATCAAATTGTAGCATTTGAAATCACGCAAGCACTTATATTTATAATTTACCAATAGCACTTTGTATATTGCAGTCAATTCCTATCTGATTTAAATTGGTGTTTATGAGGTACCTTTTAAACGTCGTGTTCCTCTCGATTCTGTCCCTCTCTTTAGGGATCAATGCAGGGATGAATTTTATTTAGCAAGGTGCAAACGCTGTGTTGTGGAAACATTTCAATGTGTTCTTGGAAGCTGAGAACTCAGTTGCAAACCAAATTGTGTACCTCTTATTAAAAGTTCTTTTCTGGGGGACAGATAACATTATGTTGAAAATGAGGCTGGTGCTCAATGTTGGTTAACTGAAGGCTAGAAGATTAAAGCTGTCTCTCAGTGTTAAATCCTTTTCATTCAAAGGACTGAAACATCAGTTTTCGCCTTTTCACATCCCACGATGTCAGTGCTTCTGCGTATAGTTTTAATTATCGGTTGATCAGATCTGAGTCACAAAAACATCCGAGTTGTGTCCTGCTTTTGGTATATTTAGTTTTTGTATGATGAACATGTATGTGCCTCTCCGCATGTCTTTTGGTATATACTGTGAATAATAAGTGTGTGAATGTCTTTGAAAGCTTTGCCTTGCACTTCTTTCTTACCCTGTAAATAAGCTGTACTTCTCTAAAAGGTTTGCATTTCATTGTCTCTCCACCTCACAGCATTCAGAACCAAATGCATTTTTTTCCAGTGGAATTCCACACATTCTATTTAGCTACATACTCTCCCAGTGTGTTCTGTGTTCAGTGTCCTCCTCAATCTGGACTTTATTAGCCATGAATACTCCATTTCATACTGCCACGTTGTTAACTGAAAAGTCCCTTAGGTTTTTTTTTTTTTGTTTGATGAGTTGTGCATAAAAATATCAGATATGGCTCACTAGTAATGTTGCTTCAGTTTTTATCTCACAAAATCTGAAACCTCAGAAATGATCTTATTCGTTGCAGCACTCTGTTTATGATGGTGTTTAATGTGCCAATGAATCTGTTATTGCTTCAGTGATGGTACTACTGAAAGATGAATTCAGTTGCAGAATGTCAGAAGTCACAGGTTGATTTTTAAATTACGTCTCCACCTGACTGCAAATGTTATTGGTGACATTTCACCTAACACTCCTAAAAATAAACTTTCTAGCAGCTGACTTTGGCATTACTGACCTGGTCTCATCATGCACTGCCTGAAACAACACTGTATATACTGTAGTTGACAACACTGGCTATGTTTACATGCATGGACGTGTCTGCTGTTAATGTGATTACTCTGGTTTTGTGTCATCTCCTGAGCATAATAATTCAAACTAAGCTGAAAGAACCAGTTCTCCAGGTCAGAGAAGCTTTTGTAAGACACCTCCATTATTATGCAGGGTTATATCATGGTTGGTAACAAGAGTGAAGCTCTCTTGTGTAGGACTCTTTTTGTACCTGTAGTCTAATGCCTAATCAAGGTTTTTTTGTGGCCAGTGATACCCCATTGGTAAATGAAGCCTGTAAATTTTTCACCAGCCCTGTCTGTGATGTGTAGTTATTGTCTTGAACATCAAAAGGACCAAAACGATTCAACCTGGGGTTACTATTTCTTTCCTTGTGTTAGAAGTTATTTGGTGTGGTGCAAATGAGGAGAGAGCAGCCTGGAAAGTGACTGGTATTCCTTGCTACATAGATTGTGGCAACATTGATAATGTCACCCATTATCTACAGTAAGTTGCATGCCAATTAACCTGACTAAGGACCTGACTGGAATATTGCCAGCACTCCATGTACTGTAAGTGTGTGTGTGAGTGTGTGTAAACGTAGCCTCTGATGCAACGTAAGGTTTCTCTTTATCCCTTTATGAAAGCAGGATAAGAGGGACCAGAATGTCTTCTGCCTCTAAAAATATATGGTCGACTGTACTAATATTCTATGGTATTTAAGAAAATAAAGGATTACAAAGTAACTTCAAGTTCTTCCTTTCATTTTTTACAGGTTAGGTATGAAAGGCTGCAATAATTTGAAACTTGTAAAGCAAAAATTTATTATTTGTGAAATTGAACCACGTTGCATACTTTTTTATTGAAATATAAGTACCACAGAATTTATAACACACAGTATAGATACCGGCTTTCATCAAACTCGATTTGACAGTTCTAGGTGAAAGGTTATCCAATAAGAAGCTTTCTCCTGATAGATTATTCTAATAAATAAAGACCAGGTAATGATGCAGTTTGTAATGTTATATAGTGAATAAAACAATGGTACATAGAAAGTATAGTAGTGATTTGTATATTAAATAGAGTTGATCTGATATTTAGTTTCAAAACAGCTATTTTAAAAAAGACATAACCATTATTATTGGGGTTTCTGTTTGTAATGTTATATAGTGAATAAAACAAATGGTGCATAGAAAGTATAGAGTTGACCAGATATTTAGTTTCAAAAGAGGACACGACAGATGTCCTTGAGTTAGGTTTGAGTAATTGTAGAGGTGCGAAACAGCTATTTAAAAAAGACACAGCCGCTATTATGTAGTGTGAGATGAATAAAACAAAAATGGACATACAGCTAAAACAGAGTAGTGATTTTGCACATTTTTGACCCATGGGGAACATGAGACAACGGATGTCCTTGAGTTATTTATTGGGGGTAATTATTTAGATGGTAAAAACAGCGTTTGCTCGAGATAAATCAGAGGCTAGCATATGTTCCTCATCACAGAGCTGTGTTTTTGGTAAGAGAGGTACAAAAACGGGGTAAAACACCTCGCAGCTGTTCACCCCCCTCTCTCAGACTCGCTGCTTTATAAACCGCTCTGCTTTTCTGCTGTGTTGTACCTCTGAAAAATCATTCCCTTCAGCAAACAGCCTGTAATAGCGAGAGAGAAAAATGGCTACATCATCCACCCCTATTTAAAAAATATACGGGG